AACAGCAAAGCAGAAGAATCTAGCAAGCAGCGACATTTGACTTGTTTTCATTTTAATGTCCCAAAAAGGTGTCAGTTTGATCCAGGAACATGAAAAATCAAACTGCTAGGCTGAAAAAAAAAAAAAAAAAAGAAAACCAAAACAAACAAACAAACAAACAAACAAAAAAAGACAAAAACAATCACTCATCTTTCATTTTTTTGCCCTGAGATGCAGCTATTGACCAGACTCAGTTTGTCAAGACACCAAGTGTTGAAGCAAAATTGTAGTTTCTGACAGTCAGTTACAAATCCAGGAAATTTCACCCAGCTCTTGTCACGGGAGTGAGCAGAAACTGACTCTGGCACCGAGGGGGTGACAAGGACAGCTTGTCTCTTCATTGTTCATTCATCCCAGCTTAAAGCAGGTATCTGAGATGGGTTTCCTTATCTTTCCCTTCCTTGGCTCAGGTAGCCAAGGAAGTAAGTTGAGGGCAATCATAGAATTTTTTAACTGAAGTTTGAGGAAATGGTGTCCACCTGAGATTCCTCTACTCTTGTGTTTTTCAGTGAAGATTCCTTACTGGGTAGCCAGGTAAGACTGGAAGGGGATTTTTTGGGTTCATTAGCAATTCTGAAAAATAATTTACAACAAATATTTTGGGTGAAAGTGGAACTCAAGTCCTTTTTCCAACAAAGTATGGAGGTGGAAAAAACTACATATCAGTCCTGAGATTTTGAAATGCTTTTTGCTTCTATGGGTTGCTGCAATGGATTGTCTTACCAAGTTTATCAAATGAAAATAATTACAAATGAACCACTACAAATGAGACACTTACAAATGAGCCACTACCTTTGGAAAAAGTTTTGATTTTTTTTTTTTTTTTTCATGATTTTTAATTCTTCAGTGCTTGGGAATTTTTTTGGAGTTGGAGGGACGAATAATTCGCTAACTCAATATACGTGCTTGCAAAGTTAATTCTGGAGTGATCAAATTGATTTATGTTTACCTATGAAAAAAACAGGTGGACTGCAAATTCCCACTATGATTTCAGTAATATTTCAGGCACTACTGTCCTTTGCTTTTGTCTTTCATGTTGATTCACCTGGGAGAAACCCATAGAGAAAATATTGCTGATACCCCAAAACAACACACAATGCAAAAAACATCATGATGTTCCATGACGGTGAAACTTATGAAATCTGATTTCCTGTTGATGCTTTGGTGTTTAACACCCTGGTCGTTCTCACCATGCACCCTTTCCTCTAGTGGACTTAGTCTCCTCACTCCTCTGCTCATCCACCTCTTTGCATCTTTCAAACATCTCCTCCTTTACTAAACTCAGCTAGAATTCAGAAATTTTACAAGTTATTTAGTGTGCGGGGTTGATGGATGGATTAACAATGCAATTGGTTTGGAAATTCATAGGAGAACAAAGTACCAAACTGAAAATATTGAGAAAGAAACCTAATGGCTCACAGGGATGATTTGAACGATTTGAATGAGGACGGTCAAGGTTAAGAACTATTCCAAATAGCTGTAAAATATTTACAGCCACTTGCCTTGTTATTGAAGCATTTCACATACCACTGCCTTTCCCTGCGTCCCTACACCACTACGTTACCTCTACCTACATGCAGGACATATGGTTCAAAAAACAGCTTCCCTCTTGCTTGAACCTGTTTTACACTGAAACAGCCCCAGCACTCTTTGTCATGTTATTCCAGATTCCCAGGAGCCCAATTTCTCCCTGTGTCACATCCCAGTAATCAACAATTAATCTGCATTGCACTCCAGCCTGGGCCTGAAGGCAGGGGTGGACAACTCTTTTCACAGAAAAGGCAATTCCCAGCATGAACATCATTTTGGCAAGGTGGGAGTGGATGCTCAACATCATCTAGAAGCAGAGCAGGGCCAAACGCATGGGTACAGGGGCTTGTCCTAGCAGCGAGTGCTGCTCAGAAACCCTGTGCCAGCCCAGACAGGAAAAGACAAGCTTAAAACAAGCTGACCCAGACTAAACAACAGAGCAATGCTCAAAAAGACCAGTCCCAGGACTCCCAGTGATCCATGGAGATGAGCAGCCAGGTGACCACAACCCTCTGCAGGTCTTCTGTGCTTGCATGGGTTCCCTTGGGGTGACCAAGGGACAGCATTAGCTGGAGACCTGCTGCCCTCTGTAGGTGTCTCTGCCTTATTTCCAGGTTGACTGGCTCCCAGGTGGCCCTCCAACGATGTCAGAGGGCTTTCCTGGTACAGATCCCCGTGCAGGGAGTGGAGGCTGCACCTGGTTAGGGTAGGATGGTGACGGTTGAAAGCACCACAGCCATCCCTCCCCATCCCAGCCTGGGCAGGCCGAGCCCCAGGGACTTTTCTTTGTGGGAAATGCATTTATTTGGTGATCAACTGAGAAGCAACCATCGATGGTCCTGCAAGGCATTCCCAGCATGTGGTCCCACAGAATGGCCACATGCCCTTGCTGTGAGGTCCAGATCCCCCATGCTCTCTTGGCAAGAACCTGATGGTTCAAACCCCAGCTGTGTTGAACCTCTGCCATTATGGTAGAGGAATGGCCATTTTTGCCTTTTTTCTGGTGATACAGAGGCAGCTCAGAAGGTCCAGATGAGATTTATCTGTCTACAGGGCACATCTACCTTATAGCATTTGTGGTGCTCAGATTGACACAGGAGATCTGGGTCCCCAAGAAAGTCTGGAGGAAATTATCACTACAGCAGGCAATTTCCAGCTTGGGCTTTGCAAAACCATATCCCAGCAAGGACCCAGGCTTGGATCCACATGTTCCCAAGGATTCAGGAGTCTGCTGGAAAAGGTGCTGTACCCAGGGATGCTGTAGGATGTAGCTCTGGGAACTGGCAGCTTCGATATCTCTGAGTGTAAAAGAAAAGCCTCACTTCAACTGAGCAAAAGAAAAAAAAAATCATAGGTATGGACAGTGTTAGTGTTGCACAGGTTTACTTTGACCCATCACTTTTAATATCAGGTGTTCACTGCAGGTGGTTGGGGTTAGAGCCTCATCACTGGAAGCATCACTGCTCTCCAGCAGCAACCCCCTGAAGTTTTTCTGGATAAACACAACTTAAGATAAATTCAGACCAAAAAACATTCAAAACCCATGATGAGATTTCAGAGGGACCTGACTCCAGCCTTTCACTGGTGTCTTATAGCAGCTCATTTGATATCCATTACACAACTAAATTAAAAATAAACATTTACAGAAGAGGGAGTGAGTGACAGTGTGTGGTCTGTTACTGCAATGAGATAGATGTCCAGCCTTGGTAGCAACACCTCTGCTAATAAACTAATGCATGCTAGACCTTGTTTCTGGCCCTGAGGCCAACTGACCCTGCCTGGCCAAGTCCTTGCAATTAAATGCTCTTGGCTATCAAATCTGGGTGACTGCATCCAACTTGTCTGTTGGGAAGGGGCCCTGATCTTGCTCATTCCTGAGACACGTCCCAGGATTGCTCATCCCACATCAAAATCAGACCAGGGACTGTGTTTCACCAGGCTTCTGTGTCCATCCCCCAACGCCGTTCAGTTTCACGGGCATAGACCCAGTTTTTGTTTTGATGAGATGTTGCAGGAAATGTTGAACCACCCGTTTTCTGCTAAGAGCTTAAATGCAGCTGTGAATGTGTCAGATGGTTTTAGCATGAAGGGAACAGCTCTTCCATCTCCCCGCTCCATCTCCATCGTCAGCAGCCCCAGGAAGGGCGGGTGTAAGCCGTCGGGTGCCCACCTGCAGCACAGTAAGAGCTGATCACCAGACTGAGTTTGCATATGCACATCTGAAACCTGGCAAAAAAGGGTGCTGGCAATGAAAAAAAATGAAATCAGAAAAATTGCATTTGCATCGGGAACGTTAAAGTGCTGTTCTTCACTCTTTGAATCTGCACTGCTGCATCTCACAGGGCACCCGCTCCCCCCGTGCTCAGTGCTGTACAGGCATAGCTTCTAAATTATTGAGGGGTCTGAGGCACCCCCGGTCTGGCTGGCTTTTGAAGAGAGGTGGGAAATCCCAGCCCTGCAATGCATTTTGTAAGGCCTTTGTTGGATGCTGGACTCAGGAAAGGGCTGTAAAACTCTCCCTGATGCCCATGAGGGAGAGGAGGGATGGTTTAGGCAGGAGAAGAGAAGGATGAAAAAAAAAAAAAAAGGAGGTGTTGAGGGGGTTACTCTCACAAAAGCTGAATGTGGGAAGGGGCATGGATGGTTAGGTGTCCATGGCCAACCCTTAACCCTTCACATGACCAGGTTTGCAAACACAGCCATTGGTCCTGAGACACCAGATGTGCAATAGCTGCACGTCGGGATGGATGTGTGGGATGCTTTTGAGAGCTGTCCTCAGGCTTCAAGGGGTTAACCCTCAGCTTCTGGTGAAGGGAAGAAACCCCCCTCTGTCCCCTGCCTTTGCTTGTGGCCCTGAGTCAGACAGCAGCTGGGGCACGTGCCTCTATCAGTCCCTTCTTGGAAGCAGTTAGAATCGTTTCCAGTCCCACTGGGGCAGACGGAGGAGCAACAGGCATTTTCCCAGTACAAAAGACAGGCAGAGGCTGGTTTCTGAGCTGGTTTCTGCCTGGGGATGGATGGTGCCAGCAAGCGGGTACTAGCCACGGTGCCCTGAGATACCCACCCCAGGGCTTCCCGGAGATACTGATGCAGCCTTACAAAACACGCTGACCCCTGGGCAAGCCGTGGCATCTGGAAAACGTTATCCCAAAGCTCTCCGGAGTGCCAGAGGACCCCAGGCTCCTTGGAGAAGGGCTCATAGCTCTCCGTGCCGTGCAACGGGAACAGCCGCGGGGACACAAGCCCAGTTCGTGTCGGGAAGAGCCACAGGCTCCTTTGGGAATACACCAGGTCTCCGGGCATCTCCTGCAAGGCTTTTGGGTCCCTGCTCTCGACAACACCCCTTCATCCCTGTTAGCCACGCCGAGGGCATCGTTACCCCTCCTCCCTCATTTGGGTGCTGGAGTCGGAGGATGTTTAGGACCCAGGCTGTGCAGCTCCTCCCTTTCAGGTCTCTCCAGGGTTATTGCTTGGTGGGAGGTAGGTTCAGGGCTTGGTGGTATGAATGAAAGAGAGAGAGGAAATCTGGACTGAAAAGCTCAAACTGGAATAGCTCGCCTGTCTCCAGGCAACAGGCCTGACGCAACCGCTGGGAAAAAAAAAAAAAAAAAAAGTCCCTTAAATAAAAAAAAACACACACACACACACACACAGATTTCTGAAGCGAGACAGAGAGGAGGATGAGACAGTCTCCTGAAGGCGCTGGTGACACTGCTCTGCAAATACCAAGTTGGAGACCCAAGGTGGAAGGAGGGAGCCAAGATGTCCGTGCAATCTTCCTTCTGACTCGGTCCCTGGTAAGTTTGTTGCTTGCGTTGGCTTGGCAGTGCTGGGGCTGGGGGGGAGCACAGCGACGCTGGGGGGGACCCCGCGGCACCCAGGACAGGAGCTGTCTGAGAGATGCTGGGTGCTAGAGGGGGCCCCCGGCTTTTCTAGCCCTGCAGAAAGGGGTAGCAGTAAGGATCAGGTCCTTGGGGAGCATCGGGGTGGGGGCGATGGGGACCCCATGCACCTTGAAGTTCAATACCGGGGTCTGGTGTGCTGGCTACAACATGGGGGGGGTGGTTCTTAGGGCTTGCATTGTGCCCCCCACACCCCCTAATCTCCTGCCTTGCCAAAATCCCCCGGAGATGGCCGGCACGGTGGCTCCCAGTTGATTGGGACGGGCTGGAAATCAGGGCAGGGTTTGAGTCTTCCTTTACGATGAGGCGTGTGGATTTTGCTCTCAGCTGGGAGCAGGGTGGGGGTACTCACCACCTTCAGGGGGGAATTTTTCTGCACTGGATGAGGTGTAACAGGGAAGGGTCTGGCCAGGTTTCCGGACGATCACCTGTTGCTCCCTCTGCCCCCTCCCCAAGATTTGCAAGAGCCCTGGAAATGTTTGTGGGTTTGTGCAGCGCAGACATAATGGGATGAAGCGTGGTGGCCTGGCAGGGCGTAGCTACCTTCGATTTTTGAAGCAGGCACTGTGTGCTGAGCGGAGCAGGTTTCCACCTGCTCAGGTCTGGCCCTTACAGCTCACCTTAACACTGAGGGAGGGGTGAGGGGGGAGGAAAAAAAAAAATCACCCAGAACTTCTTCAGAGCCCTTTATAACAGCTTGGAGCTAATTGCTAAAATAATACCATCAGCCCATACCCCTCCCAGCACAAGTGTTTGTGAAACCCACAGCACTGCACCTACACCACCCAAATCACACACCCCTCAGCCTCTCCGGTCCATGCAGACTGTCACCTCTCCCGCAGCGGCTAGCCACGCAGGGTTTAGACACCCCTCCCTATTTTCCTGTGATGTTCCCTGTATTTTTCAGTGTTGCTCTGCCTTTCGGAGCTTTTCTACCTCAGGGACCTCCGTGGAGGGGGGTAAAATGGATGAAAACCAAGTGCCTTGTTGCCAGTGAGGAGTGTATCTGACTGGTACCATGTTATCGTGGCTTTGTCTGCTCATCCCCTGTATCCTATGGACTCCCCACTTTCCAGTGGGAACAAGCCTGTTTTGGCTGCTGTGGGTTTTCTCTCTGCCAGCCATCATTTCAGCGTACTGGGGTTGTTGTTGTTATTTGCATCTCGGGTCCCTCCGCTTCCAAATGCCTATTGCAGCGGTACCTCTTCATGGGGGGATCTGTACAACACAAAAATAAAGCAGAATGGAAGGGATCCGGCTTCTCTTGGGCTCTGGGCTTGCAATAGCTCCGCAGCCATTAGGTGTTTGCAAAATGTAGCAGAGATACTGCAGGAAAAAAAAAAAAAAAAACGAAACAAAAAAAAACCAGCCTCAGAATAATGTAGCCTTTCTAGGGGAAGGGAGTGGGGGTCTCTTTGCAACCAGCTTGCCTTAAATAATGTTAAATAGCAAAGTGCAGCTCAGCACTGGGAGAAGGCAGGTCTGAGTACAGAGGTGGTACGTGTGATCATTGCTCGGGCAGCCACCAAGGCGGGTAATTGGATGGGACAGGGAACTTGTAAAGGGGATTAAGGGATCACCGGGGGGGGGGTTGGCCCCACTCCCCCGATCACTTTAACTGGAAACCTCAGGGTCTCGAATGGGAGCTAGCCCGGGCGCTTGTCTCTGTAAGGGGTGAGCTCAGTTCTGGGCAGAATGAAGCCCAGCAAAACCAGAAAGAAGGGGTTGTTTTGTTTTGTTGTTTTGGTTTTTTTTTGTTTTGTTTTGTTTTTTTTTTTTTTTTTTTCCCTGAAAACACACCCTTCTGCCTTCCGTGCTGCATTTAGGGAAAAATAACTCCCTGTGGTAGTCTCCTGGGAAGCGAGCATTTCTCAGCCTGACCTGGCTCATTCCCAAGGCATCCCAGCACTTTGTATTACCCTGGTTGCACAGGCACAGAGGTCCCTGACTGCTCCGTCTGCTCTTTCCTTGCTGAAACGCGGTTGTGCTTGAGGTGGCAGCAGGGAAAATAAGGGAAGGAATTGGCTCTGCCAAGCCACAGGTCCTTTGGGGTCATTTCTGGGGACAGGTTAGGTGTGCCACTTCCAAGATTAGGTCCCAAAACCTGCTAGGACCCTGGGGCAGTGCATGGAGAATCAACCCTTGCCCATAATCTGCGGCTCCCTTCACCTCAACAGACCTTCCCAGAAGATGACTAGGGTGGACGGGGTGTCTTCACCAAGAAGATGTAAACTTGCCTTTGCTGCTGCTGCTTAATCCCCTTCTAAGAGTAATCATATCTGATTTTGGCTGATGGAATGAGAGCATTGACCCCGTCCAGCTTCCCAGTTTGCAAATACTGCCCACTCATCGGAAGACTGGTTTGCAGGAATGCCAAATATCTGTCAATGCCCATCTTCATGTAGGATTTCCACACAACCGCTGGAAATCTGCTGATTAGGGGGGCTGAGCTGGTCTGAAAATGGAGCTGCTAGGGTTGGTCTGAAGCAGGCAGCAATCTTAGCTCTGCTTCCTCGCAGGAGCCTGCTTGATTTTGTGCAGGGGACACAGGAGGGAGAAGTTGTAGCTAGGCAGGAAGGTACAGATGTATTTAATGAAACAGGTTCTGACTCTACTAGTGATGCTGGAGATCAGCCAGGGAAAAGTACCTTAGGGCAGGGAGTAGAAACTCGTCCCCTCTTATGTCTGTGTGCCTCTGCTCCTCTTGTCAGGCTGGTGGGTTTTCTGCAGCCCCATACTGCTGTCCCCTCCTCCCTTCATTGCAGCGTTTAGGGGTCTTTCTGGAGGTCATTTGGGCAGAAGGACATGCCAGGGCAAATCCTTACCCTGCTTCAGGTGGGGGAGCTCTGTGACCGCCTCGCCAAACACCTGCGAGGACATTGCATTCTGGATCAACCCGGGGGGGGGGTGGGCAGAAAGAAACTCGGTGTCCTCCCTGGGCTTTTGTCGTGTATTAGGCTGGAAGTCAGGTCTGTGCGGGTGTGAAGGGACACAGCCAACGTGGGCAGCCCTGCACGGAGGCCCGAAGGTAGAGTCACCAGACGTGGACTTGTGCTCATGCTTGTGATGCCCAGCTTGGTCGCTTCAGTGTCATCATCTTGTCCCTGGAAGAAGGGACAAGCTCACACAGCCCACCTGAGCGTGGCCAGGAGGTCTCCATGGCCATGATGTCCAGTGGGGACTGGGGGCTCTGCCATCAGCCCTCCAACCTTGCATGGGACACATGGACACAAGATCTCCTTCCATCCTACCCCAACCATGATGAGCAAGCAGAGATGATCTGAGCCCGACAGCACCAATTTCAGCAGGGGCCTCTGCCCTGGAGAGAGCCCTGGCTTCAGGATCGGGCAGATCTTTAGGCTGCTGGAGTATTCTCTTTCTGGGGGGAGAGAGGCTGAAGGTCACTTTGGGGTAGGCGAGAAAGGCATTTGGGAACCAGATCAGTTTTCTGCTGGAGCAGATTTCAGGTGCTATAGAGGGGGATTGGGTGGCTGAATGCTGGATAATATAACCCAGGGAGATTGTCTGTTCACTGAGGCTGTGGGACGGCCGGGGGAGCAATTTGCTCTCTGTCTCCGTAGGAGCCCTCTGCAGAGCAATGTGCTGCAGCTGTGCTGCTTGAGGGGCTGTGGCAGGGGACCCCAGGGTGAGGAAGAGTCCGAGCTCACCAAAACCCACACAGCACGGCAGCTCCCTTCCCGAGTGAGGTCATTTTAGCATGGGGAAAGGAGCGATCCACGTGCAGCCTTCCTGAAAGGGAACCACCAGCTCCGGGGAGCTGCAGCCTTGACCCAGATGGGTTTCTCCATTCTCCTGACCAGGACCTCAGCGTGCCTGCTGCCCGGAGGATGCTCGGGAGCCTCCATCCACCACCGTGCAGCAGCTGGAGTCCTCCCTTTACTCCATTGCTATGGCAACCCCCTCGCACAAGCATCTCCTCCTCGCTGACCCCTCTGACAACCTGCTGCAGACCTCTGGAGGGGGGGGGGGGTCAGCCACCCCCACCCCATCCCTGTCTTTTTGCCATGCCGAGAAGGAAAGCAAACACAGCTCTCCCTGCACTGGGTGAGCACCAGCCCCTCCACCTCTCCCTCCACCTCAGTATTTCTTCAGCCCACCGTTTCGTGCTCAGGGTCCTCCTCAGACCCGCAGAGCTCAGTGGTGGTGTTAGCAGGGGCAATTTACTCTAAGGATTTCTTTTGTAGGATCAGGGGGTTTCTGCAGGGACCACAGGGTGACACCTACGCAAACCCAAGGAACAAATAACTGCAAATGGTCAGGGGAACTGCATCCCAAACTCTGTGGATCATAGAGGGTGTCCCTGCACTGATTATAGTGAGAGCCTGGTCACCCAGATGAGATGGAGAGACCTGAAGATACCAGAGGTGAATTCTGTACGTGTCTGAAGATCCTCAGAGCTTTTTTATTTCTGTTTTTCTTTTTCCTTTTCTCTTGTTCCTTTTTTCAGTAGCATGAATAGCCTACTCAGTGAGAGGGAAACTGAGGCATAAAGGGGGCTGAAGTGCTTTTTGAAGGTCATTAACAGGCTGAACCATTACCTCTGCCCTGTTTAACCCATGCCAGAAGTGTCATCCATGGGCTATGTGGGCACCCCTTCACCCTGCAAAGGGCTTCCCTCAGCCTGGGCTTTGTGTCATATTGAGGCTTTTATTTTTATTCTTCTCAGAGACTAGAGAAGCAGAGCAATACAGGCTCTCACAATCACTGCTACTCCTCTGCAATAAAAAATGGTATTACAGTAAGCTGAAGTCCACCAGGAATAGTGAAGGCAGAAGAATAATTTGCTCCCCACACCTCTGCTTTGGCTGATTGTTTTATTTATTCTGCTTTTTCCTTCCCATTTCCATCCTGAGTGTTTCTCCCTTCTTTTTTCGCTTTCTTCCTCTAGACCTCTTGCTCCCCAGCATGTGACCTGCCGAAGCTCCGCGTGCCCTTATTTACAGCCCTGAATTTAACAGGCTGTACCTGTGCTGCCCTGGCCCGGCACACACCAACCAATTCTGCTTCATGAATGCCTCATGTTCAAAGCTGACCAGGGCACAGAGAGCTGAAGGGGAAAGTACAGACATATAAAACTTCTCAGGGACGCAAAACTCCCACAGAGTAAAAGGCTCTGCCTAGCAACATTTTGTGCAATTTTCCTTTTGACCATGAGCAGCATCTGACTTATATTGTTATCCACCATCAGAGACGATAAAGTGAAGCTTTTTTCACACCGCTCTACACCTCCCCTTGCCTCCTAACCCCATCACACTGGGTTTTACAGGGGATATTCACATTATTCTCCTGGTCCCCTGCTATAATGCATGGGAAGGGATGTCCAAGGGTGTGTGATGGGGACAGGTCTTCAGCATCTGCTACAGGGTTGGAGGAACGGCTGCAGTGGGACGTTGTGGTGGCAGACTGTGCTGCTGGACCTGGTCTCTTAGAGCACAGGGCAACCCATGAGCTTCACAAGGTGTGTCTGGTGCGGGAGAGAGCAGGTTTTGCACTGCTGACCTATAACCATGCAAAAGCCCAGCCCCAGGGTATGCCAGCTCCATGACTCCTGGCGTGATAGGACTTCACACACAATAAGGCTTCACACACAATCCAGCTTGACAGTCCTGTTATTTCTCCATCCTGGACGTGTGTTTCTGCTAATCCCTTTGCATTATAGTTTGCAGGCTAGGTCAGTTAAGCTGTCTTCTCTGATGGTAACCTAGCTCAACAAAGAAACCAAAGGTTTTTTTGCTGTCTCAGTGACCTGACGTGTCCTGTGCATTTAGGATTGATAGGATTCACACAAGGGAAGGAGGAAACCCCTGAGCAAAGGGCCTTAGTGAGGTGGGAGAAGACCCTCACCCCATTTTGGTACTGAACTCCCGTTACCCCTAATTAAGTATGGCATGAACACCCTAAGCCAGGCAAGTGTGATAATTAAGATAAATCAAGGGTTAATCACTTAAACTCCCTTTCAGGGGACCAGCCTAGGGGAAAATTGAGCCCAGGGCAGGGAGACTGGGAGAATTCTGTTGACTTGAGCCAGAGACCAGGTTTGTTCCTGGGAATTAGGTAGCTCCGAGGCAGCAAACAGGTTTGTATTACAGCCTCACACACAGACATTTTTCACACGCTTAACACTTTCAGATCTCTTTTTCTATAGCAGGTCTTTGATCCAAGCCCAAGATATTGATAGGAAATTAGAGGCAGCTGCTTTCTGTCATTTCTGAGTTTGGACAGGCTGGGGAACAGACGTGCCTATTTAGGGGGTGTCCCTACAGAGCGAATCAGAGGTTTCGTGTTGCACCTGGGAGGAGGTGAAGGATGGGTTGAATCAGTGCTGCTTTCAGGGCAGAAAAATCAAATCCCTCCACAGCTGCTGGGAGGTGACAAGGGGAAACAGGAGATGGCAGTGGGGTTGTGGCAAAGGGGGTGCTCCAAACCACTATTGTGCTTTCAGAGTCTGATGTTTTAAATGCTAACTGAGCTGTATCCAGGTCTCAAACACCCAGGGCCTTTTCCACCTTGAGGATTTTATACATGCTGAAGACACAAGAGTTTGGGGGGGGCTCTGATCTGTAGCTGTGGTATTCAGAAAAGTCAGTCTTACAATAAAAATATTATCTTTGTTAGGGTTTATCAAACCCAGTAGCTCAATGTGGAGTTGCAGCAGACTCTATTGGGCTGCTGGTTTTGCCCATCCATAGCAATCTCCATCTCAGTGGACAGAAAAAAAAAGCTCAGAAGTGGGGTTTTTAAATTCATTAGGTGTTTTCCCTTATTGATTTCAGTAGGCTGGAGCTGAAGACAAGTTAAATTCATTGATATACGCTCAGCTCTGCAGAGCATCCATGCAAGATCTGACGCAGGACCTGACTCTCTGACAGGGCAGCCCTTTGCTTTCCCCTCCATACAAACTATTTTTCAACAGAAGAGAGAAAATAGTTGCTGATCCAGGTATGAGAGCTGTTGGCTTCAACCTGATATAGTATCTGTGTTTGCTCCCGCTCACCGTAAAACTCTCATTAACATAAATAGGAGCAGGAACAAGACCACAACATGACTAATTCTCCACCCCCAGACTGTCTGTGTGTATATTATCAACTCCTCGTTCAGCTCATGTGCCTGCACACAATTGTGGGATAAATCTTGCTCTTGGTGTTCGTTTTAAATTGAATCTTCTTACTGAAAAGGTTCAAGAGGGATAATTAAGGTCTGGATTTCAGACTTACACACGTCTTTGTGGGCGCAAATAGCAGGGGAAAGAATGGCTGAGTAATTCATATTGCTGTGGTTTAGTGTATCCTGCTAGAAAGCTGCATACGTCCTGGATGGTCTTTCTGGGCATGTTACCAGGCAGGCAAAAAAAGTATTTTGTTTTGTGTTCGATGTGTAGATGAGAGCTCTGGATCTATTCCTAGCTCAGCCATAGATGAGCATACGACCTTGAGAAAGTCTCTTATCTGATCCTACCAGCAAATGAATGTAGAAGCTGCCTGAACTTAACTCTTGCAGAGTTATTTGAATCCTCTGTCCCTCTAGGTCCCACATTTTGCTACATCAGCTTTGGGCACAGCTTCTCTGACTCCACAGGCAGTGGTTGGAGGAGAAGCTGGGAGCTTCTCTGTGCTAGTCCTCCAACAGGGTGTTTTCAAGGGGATCATTGGGACCATTCCAAATGGGCAGACTGGACATGGCCAGGGATGGAAACCACAAGTCCAAGTCTTCCTGAGCTCAGGCATCTGAATCCAAACCATGTCAGCACCCCAGCTTGGCTGGGGACCATGCTTCTGCCCTGAGCCTGCTGGACAGGAGGGAGCTGAATCTTATGGGTATATATTGGCATCTTTAGCAAACCTAGACCTACACAGAAATCGGTAAAACTGAGGGGGAAAAACAAACAACAACAAAAAAAAAGCCACTTTTCCCAGCTCTTCTTTCGATTCAAGCTCTTGGAAGAAGTTTGAGTTGTCTTACTTCTCCTGGTCCTGTTTTCCCAAGTGGAAAGATGTAGGTTTGCCAGCCAGGAAATCAGTAAAACAGCACATATAGACACCCCAACCCACAGCAACATCCACTGCTGTCTCCAGAGGACCTCGGGTTGTGTGATACAGCTCCAGACGCGTCTGTGAATGTGTCCTGGCCTCCTTGACAACCCTTTCATGGCCCCTTGAGTTAAGGCTGGAGATGTAGGTAACCAGAGCCTCCCTAAAAGCCAGAGCCTGTCTGTTCCTGCCCCAAAAGCAGTCAGATAGCTGAGGTGAGGTAACACTCCCCAGGAGCACCTTGGCACTGTGCCGCTCCCAAAGCCCTCGCTCCCTCCACTGCAGCAAGAGCTGTCTCTCCCTTCTCACTCTTTTTTCCTTCTCAAACTGGAAACCAACCCTCTGCTTTTCTTCTAGGTGTTCATCCAGAGCCGGCACAGTGCTTGAGCAGGAGCCACCACCCTGAGGGGCTGCGTTTTGTCACTCTGCAGGAGCTGGTCTAGCCCTGAGGGTTTCCCACCTCCGTCCCTGGCCCTTTGCAGCACATCCTTATGCTTTTTGAGTCCCAGAGAGGATGTCTCTACCCAAAATCCAAATAGAAGAGGCTCTGGACAGCGCAGAGAGTGGCTCTGGAGGTGCTGCTCCTCCTGATGACCACCTGAGGAGCCTCAAGGCATTGACTGAGAAGCTGAGACTGGAGACCAGGCGCCCATCCTACTTGGAGTGGAAGGCGAAACTGGAGGAGCAGGCATGGAAGAGCTCCCAGCCAACGGGAGAGGAGGAGGAAACTGAGGCCAAAAAGGCCATGGGGGAGCCTGTCCCCTTGAGAAAGGTGCAGCTGCATCTCAATGGGAGCCCTGCCCAGGACAAGGTGACTCTTACCTCAGGGAGAATAGGTGGCTTTGAGAGCATCGACGAAGCTTTGACGTGGCTCAGGAAGGAACTGGTAAGTGGTTTCCTGTCTCTGTTAGATAGCACAGTTTTTCAAGAGTGGAAAAAAAAAAAAAAAAAAAAAAAAAAGAATGAGGAAACAAGCAACTCCTTGTTCCTACCTGCCTTCAGCCCCAGGTGAAAAGAAAACAATCAATCATTTCATTTTCAGTGGCTGGTGGGAGCAGAAGCAGCTCAGAGAAGGGAAAAGACACGTGTCAGAACACCATAACCTCAGAGAAGGAGCTGGGTCCATCTCAGCATCCCTGCTGCCATCCAGCAAGCTGGGGAAATATGGTTGCACTGGTTAGGACTTTTTAGCAGTTTGCCCATTCCAGTGCTTCCCTAATTACACCTCAGCACTCATATGAATACAGCAGGCATGAATACACCATGAATCCATGGACACTGCTGGTGCAATAGCTCATCTCTGATGGGGATGGGGAAGGAATGCTTCGTCAGGGCTGTAGGAAGGAAGGATGACTAGATCCATCCCCTGCATCTGCCTTTGCAGCTGGTGGCTATTGGTGGTTTAAAAACTCCCTCAGCAGGAGAATGTATGCTGACCACTGCATTTAGCAGTCATTAGCCAATCTAACTTCCAAGGGTTTGCTTAATTCCCTCTTTTTCTTTTTTTTTAACCCATAACTCCCTAGAAGGTCTTGTGATAACCTGCTTCCCCCAAGTCATTTCTACATGGTGAGACCAAGTGTTTCATTTTACTTCAAACTGTCGTAGAAACCCCTTGTTCTGACCATGTAATATCTAATGAATAATATTCCTTTTTCTGTTGTATACATGAGGCCAGAACTTTATCTCAGACCCCTCCTTGTCCAGCTCTTATATGTTCATCATCTGTTGGCTCCTGTTTCATTAGAAGCCAGCCCACATTTCCATCATCCTCCCATCCCAACCTTGGGCCCTATCTTACACATGTGTTTATTTCTGGTAGTTATGAACTGATAGTTTCACAGAGAGGAAGACAAGACAAAAATGCTACACCTATGCTAGGAAAACACACAGAACCAGGGCATGGGTGCTGGAAGCTTATATGTTGTGCTGCTATCGTGGTCTTTGGCATAAATTTGGCCTGGGCCAACTACTGCTGATGCAGGCAGCTCCCAATCCAGCTCAGGAGTCAACACAGCCTGGGGATGATTCCCAGGAGGAAGCGTGGATGCAGCACATCTTTTCTGGATGCTAGAGGAGATCAATAGAATGGACATGACCAGATCAGGGCAGCTGTTTCCAGGGCTGGAGAATGGACCCCAGTGCTCTTCACAACTGTAGGAGCAGGCAGGCACCAAGACCACACTTCCCAGTGATGCTTCCCTTCTCACCAGAATGAAAAATCTTTATTATTTGGCCCACGTGCCTGGAAACAACTCATGTCAGGTGGCTTTGTTTCTGTTGCCCAATTGGAATTTTGCCTGTGAGTCCCACCAGCATTTGCAACTGTATTGACAGCAGCAATATTTGCCACAGGGTCCCAGGGGACTGGGACATCACTTGTGGTTCGGATGCACTTGTGAAAATGTTCCGTTTGCAAATGCTTTGCTTTTGGTAAGCACTGAAAGTCTTTGAGGAAAACTTCCCATGTGCAACAACGAATAATAGTTTTTTTTAAAATCCTCTGCAATGTTTGCTTCAAATAATATTTATTTGTCAACTTTTTGTGGTGCTTGTTGTATTCACCCAGCTAGATTGATCTCTAGAGAATTTATTGGCAGAGGTGGTTCTGGATGTCACAGTTTTGGTGGTTGAGTTGTTTCTCAGCACCATGGCTTTCAGAAGGTGGGTGCAATGCTTTCAGGAATCCAGGACTATTAGGAAGAGTTTTGAGCTGATCTCCTAAAATCACTCAGCACTCTGGAGAATCTCAGCTCCAAATCTGAGAACTGAGTCTGGGTCCATGCTTGAGATGTGATGCAATCTTAAATTCATAGTGCACTTGATGTAAACCTCAAATCCCATCACGCCCAAAGACAGTAAGAAGAAGATTTTCCTTCTCAAAGCCCTAGATTTTAAAAGATTTGGTTTGTTCTTTCAGTTTCTGCCCATGATAGAAGTATAAATTGTTTCAGAGCCCAATTCTACTCCTTAGACTGGGGTGTGGTATACAAACCACCATCTGACGAAAACTGAAAGTTTAAATTAAAGAAGAAAAAGGGCAAAGCAAACCCTAATTGTTCCTCACTTTCCATTTTCCTGCCTCTTAATTATACCGGTCTTTGCTGTATCTGGACATGACTCATGTAATTTAGAACAATTTCCCCAAAAGAGAGACCATGTATTTGACTGACCACACAGCTAAATAGCTATGTTGGAGGCACTATTGTTGGGTAAGAGCTGCCAGCAAACAGTGGGAACACAGCAAAGCCATCCCATCACAGGATGTTGGAACAAAAAGATGCATTTCACATTACATTTCAAGGGTGAAATCCAGTTTCTTTTCAAATAAATGAACAAGCTTCCACACATCCCAACACAGTCAGGATTTTTCCTTGTTTATCTCCATGTTGTCATAGTAAAGCAACCAGGAAGGCTTCATAGCAAGATATGGTTATGTCTAAGTTTATATATTTACTTAAGTCCTGAAAGGGCAGCATCCCTAAGACAGTACCCTGGTTGGAGCAGCCAAGAGGGACACTAGCACCCCACAACTTGGGTAAGGTCACCCTAAGCAGGAAATCAATCCTTCCAGCCTGATTTAATGTAGGAAACCACAAACCTGGGAGCACCATGCAACCCAGCCTTGCCCAAGCAAGTGTTGCGTATCCTGGGCAGCTTTCTGAAGATCACCCAAAAATGATCCAGTAGTCATAACTGAGGTGAAATCTGCCTTTGCCACACTGTCCTCTGCTGCAGAGTGAAATCTCTCCCATTCTACCCTTCATGAGAAGTCAGTTTAGAGCGTTTAGAATTAATCTAGCCAATGAAAGGGCAAAAGCTGGTGTATGTAGAGATTTCTACTCAGGAAATAAGTACACCAGCCCGTGTCCTTACTGAATGAAATGCAACAATACAGGGTGTGCAGCTTCATCACTCACACTGTGCAACCCTCATCACAGCTACCGGCGTGTTTAGGCTGGGTTATTTCAATAGCATGGCCCCAGCACGGTCTTGGCTTGTACCAGACAGCACCCTGCCAAACAGTTAGAGCTTCAGGAGTTTGCACATGCTGGGGACTGTTCCCAACAGGCAATTTGTGCAGGACCACCCGATTTTGGAATTAACTCTATCCCAGCCAAAACCAGTAGAGGTAGCAAAGCGATTTTAGTAGTATTCATAGGCCCAAACTCCCCCTTGGTCATGGTACTACAGAACAAGCTATGGCATGGGTTAGTTGCTTGGCCAAGTGATAGACCAGGAGTGCCCAGCTTTAAAATTAAAGTTAACTGTAAAATCTGAAGCAGTATTCCCAGTTCACACAAAAGGGGTCATCCAATGCTGCAAGGAATTTGCCTCCATCTTCTCCAGAGTCTGCTCTGGTTCAAGTTCAGCCAGGCTCAGGTTCCTCATGCTGAGAAGGGAAGGACAAACCCAAGGTCTTACTGTGCATCTGCTGTTCTTGGTCTTTCACCCCACACGACCTGTCCCAGGACCTGATTCTGCACATCAAGTCCTGGCCCTGGTTTATAGGACTGACATATGCCCACTGAGCTCCAGCCAGCCACGTCAGCTGGGACCTGCTGAGAATCTGGCCCTGAGAAGATGATTTATTCAGACATGCAAACTCCTGCTCTTGTTTTTGCACTGAGAGGCTCTGTGTAGGTGTAGGAGCAAATTGCAGCACTCAGCATGAGCTGAACTGCCCTGGGGCTGCAGCGCTTCCCTCCCCAACTCCTCCTGCCTCTTCTTTGCCTTCAAGTTTGCCTTTGTGCTGTCAAGTGTGGCTGCTCTTCATCAGTGCTGAAAGTAAATCAGTCACCAGCCAGGGTACGGTGACAGACCCAAGGATCAGAGTGGTCAGACTGTATTTTTTTATTTGTTTATGAAAGTTGTCAGAACAAATGTTTACATGTTCTAAAATTAAGCCCTCAGAGTCCTCTTCCTCCTAAATGTGGTTAAAGAACAAAACTTTGCAATAAACTGGGACATCTTAGGACAGCTCTGACTTTGTCCCAGTAGGAAAACACACTTTCCATCTCAAATTCACCATTATGCACTGAAATCTGAGCCGGAATGAAAAAAAAACTCTTGAAAAGGGACACAAATGTCTGATGATCTCCCCTGGGAAATCGTAAAACACCTATGTCCTGTTGATCAGACATTTATTATGAAATATTAACTGTTATTATCTCCATCTGGGATACTGATATTGGCTGAACAAGTACTTAAGCGAATTTAAACAACGATGTGGCACCAAAACAGTGTTGACATGAGCCTCGTTGCAGACTGCTCTGTGATTGTTCAGAGGTAGAGAGGAGGAGTCTAGAGCATGGATATGGTGATGGAGACTGGCCTGAGCTGGGAGTCCTCTCTGCTACATAGCAGGTCCAGGAAGGATTTTTCTGTATTTTTGTTTAAAGCAGTGAAAGGACATGGGCAAAGGCACCAGAGCAGGGTTATGCCTACTGTTAGAATGCTAGAACAGGGGCACGGTTTAGGCGTTACCACACAACAGGACTGCCCCTGAGGGACATCCACCCTGTTTGGAGAGAGAGAGTTTCATGGGGTGGATGTGGATTTATGAGTGTAGCAGAGATGTAACTGCAGCTCTGAGAAATGATGTGCTCTTTTCCTATGTAAGCCCACGTACAAGCCCACTGAGATGACCCTCAGTTCGCCTCACTCAGATGTTAAGCTGCTAGGCTTTTCCTCTGGCAGTGGGCATTCTCCTAGGTATGGCACTCCCAATCCTCAAAGCATTTTAGCACCCCTTAATTTAACAGAAAACATAGGTAACTACCTCCCTCAAGAATGGTCAGATCACCATTCTGAGGGAGTCAACACAGACTAAACTCAGCACTGAAGAAACGTGAGATTTGCGACCCAAATCAGGCTCTACATGTGTCAGCTGGCAAAGGTATCCTGGACTTTGGTGGTGTGTAAATCCCAGACACCACAGAAAGAGATTAGATACCTCGTCTGGGGCTGTGGGTTGCACCACAAGGGCATGAGCATCTAAAATTAGCCATGGTAGGGTGGCACCTGAGCACCTTTGAAGATGAAGCCTCAAACCAAAACACAGACTTAACTGACTTCTTTGAAGCCTTTGTCAAGGCTCTAATAACTGGCCTGTGTTTCTCTGTGTTTGAATCCAAGCAGCTGCACTCAGTTAGGAAAGCACCAGTTTAGATTTAGGTTTCTTTTGATCTTTTGTAAATAAAAAGGACTAGCCCCATGGGAGCAGCCACTTCTCCAGAGACCATCATCCTGAGCTTCATGGAACACAGACTGGGATGCTGTCCATGGGGCACTTCACTTTTGGGAAGGGGTCCCAAGGAGCTCCACACCTCCATGCCATGAGGTGCTTTCAGCTGATGCATTCCCCCATAGCAGCACAAGGAGACGGACCACTGGCAATGGGAGCATTACTGGTCTTCCTCTCCATGACCATATGATTAAGGCAAACTTGAACACAAGTCTGGGCTACACCCTGAGCTACTTCTACCTGTTTGGTCTAAGTGATCTAGACTGGACAGCAGGCAAGGATGCATCCAAAACTTTCTCTCCCTCTCTCATATTAAAAATCTTTGGGAGATTCTGAGGCTCAGTCCAAACAGAAAATCCTTCCTGGGTTCATAAGACTTTGGGTCTCTGTGGTCCAGCTTTGTGATTCAGCCTAGGAGCTGCAGAAGCTCCTCTGCTAGGAAGGACCTAGATTTGGTTCCCCCTCCCACCTGGGGAAGTTCAAACCAGTAGCTTGTCCATCCCAACAACGAGCTCCAACTGTGCAGATGAAAAGCAGTTCTTTTCCTGCAGGAGCTGGGCGTGCAGAAAGAGGCAGAATGTGTTAAAAAGTGGTTTGTGTGAGCAAGACATACCTGAGGCTGTTCGTGCATTCGGCATGTGAGACTCGAAGGAAGTAAAATGCACAGCTTCTTCTGGGTGCTCCCCGTGGGTTTCTCCAGGACATTGCACAAGGCATGTGGGATCATGCTGTCGTCCCACACAGATAAACAGGTCCATCAAGTTACACTGTGGTGACTGACCCTGTGGGTGAACTGTGTAAACTGAAAACCCTCAACTTCCCATGATGTGGCACCTGTAATCCCATTATTTCTTTCCAGGAAGCTCTGTGGATCTTTGTTGAGCTGACAGTGCTCTTTTTAAAAAGAAAACATCAATTATTTCTAGGGATGGTTTGGTCCTCATCATGGGATGGATTGAATGCTTCTAGTATCCATGAGGAACCTCTGGGAAAGAGAAGAATGAGAATTTCTGGACTCAGACCCAAATTCTGCTAATATTCTAAGTGGTTTTGAACAAAGCACAGCTTGATGGAACAAGTCCACAGAGGGATGACAGAGTGCTTGCATCTCAGGCCAAGCCTTGGCGATGAGCAGGAGTGAGAGAGGCTGTGCCTTGCAGGGCAGCCCACCCTTCCTGCCCACAGTGGGGCTTTTAATGCTCTGCTCCCCACAAAGCCATCACCCCATGGCCCTCCATGAGACCTATCACCATGTAAGGCACTCCTGAGCCCTCGAGAAGCTGAGAGGGCCTCCCAAGGGGCATGACCAGTGGCAGCCCTCATCCCCTGTGCCATCTCCATATTGTACATGCCATCCTTTAGTCAACCATTACCAGGCTTTGTTCCTCGCCCCTCTACTTTTATTTCCTGGAGGGCAGAAAAGGCCTTTATCCCCTTGGGAAAGCTTTGGCTGATGGTGCATATCTGACAGGTCACCCTTGTTTCCCAGTTCAGCCCCAGAGCAGAGCCGGACAGGGCTGTGTCTAAGATGGTGTCACAGCCTTGGTGATCGAAGTGGCTGGGTGGTGGCTTTGATCCACGTCACGCTGCCCCCCACTTTACAGGCCACGTGGCTGTGGAAGGGGCTGGTTTGGCAAACACCAGGGTCAGCAGGTCCAGTGGGGGTCAAGAAGAGTGACGGGAGATTGAGCACCTGAAGGACACACCCTGAAGGGCTTTATCTTCCAGACTGTGTGAAATCAAGACGGCTTCCTCAAAAGACAGGGAAAGCAAGAACCAGTCAAAAGCAAGTGGAAAGCTGGCTTGCAAGGGAAAAACAGCAATCTCCAACTCACATCCCTTTCCACAATAGCCTTGTAATTCATTTTTAAAACCTTTCTGATGTTGGGATTTGGTTTTTTTAATCCCACATTCCTCAAAGCCTTTAATGAACGCATGTGTTGACATTTCTTATGTAGCTTGATAAACTGACAAGAAAGAACCACCAAGGGTCAGTTCAATAACACTCACGATCGCCTTCCTGATAAAAAGTCAAGTTGCAGCATTCATTGTGAAACAAGGAAAAATATAAACAATTTTTTTTTTTTTTTTTCATTGCAACTCGTGGGAGAAGAAAAGCCTGCCGAGTGGTATTACTCTGCTGGGGGCACAAGCTACAAGGTCTGCAAGGAAAGAGTGTTTTTTTGAAGCAGGTAAATGGCCACAACCCTGCCAACAATTTGAGAGAGATTTCATGAGGGAGAGAGAGAGAGAGAGTTTTACTCTGAGATTTGTACAAAGGTGATTTAATCCTCTTCCGGCAACCAAGCTGGAGTCAGATTGCCAGTGAGAGCACCAGTCAAGGTCCTCCAGGATGCCTCCATGGTGCAGGAGTGAGAAAAACCCTGCTTGGCTTGGATTAACTGTTATTATACTCATGTCAGCTCTCCGCTTAGGCTCTAAGCACAGCATTTCAAAGGCCATCCCAACAGCTGCGGAAAAAAGCTGGAGCAGATCCAGGCTTTCCTCCAAGCCCTTCAACCTCCTAAGGTGGCTGCTTCACCTTGCTGTGAGACTGGCAGTGCTGCCAGGGGCGATCCTGATGTCTTTGGAGGCATTGCCTGGAGGAGGAGGGATTATGCCACAGACAAGAAGAACCCCAAGGATGCTCTGGTCGACAGCCTTGTTGCAGCAGCCCATGCATCAGGCATCAGAAAGGTCTCACAGAAACACTGGGCCCATCTGCGGAGCCTCCCAAAGGGAATATTCCCACCTCCCTCCCCTTCTGCAGTTTGATGCATGAGCCACCAGGCCAGGAATAAATTTACCCCCCGCCCTCAGAGCTACATCTGTACTTGTAAACTAAACAGCTCATTTTCAGGCCTGGAGGCAAACTGGTATGGTCTGATCACATCCATGCTGCTAAAATCCAGACAAGATGGCTGTATCCCAAATGCCTACCAAGGATGAATTCATCTGTGTTAACTCCTAAGGAGTGTCTGCAGGGAATTGCTTAGGCCTATGAGAGCTGGCCTCAGCTCAAAGGATGCCAGGACCTTGTTTGTAATCAAGGGGAGAGACTTTGTTGCAATGCACTATTTAATGTATTGCTGTAGATGTAGTCTGGATCTGTTTCTGAGCTCATTCAAACCACAGGGAGCCAAAAAAACAGTGATGCAAGTTAAAGGAGTGAGGTAAAGGATGGATTTGGGGTCAGGGCAGCTCCACTGTGCAGCTGGAGATGAGCTCAGGGCATCGTCTCATGCACTGAGAAGTCAGTGAGGACAGCACATACCCAGGGAGACATTGGGAGGGAAAAAAAAAAAAAACAACAACAAAAAAAAATCATGAGTCTTGGTGACAAGGGGATCCTTCCAGTGCCAGTTCATGTCCTGTGATGGAGGCAACACCGGGGAAAGAGGCAGGACATCTCATGTAGGACTGTTTTCCAGCTAGTGTTGCTCCCTCCTTGTCTCCAGAACTTACAGAGATATTTAAGCCTCAGAGTTTGCTAAGAGTTCTTCATCTTCTCTCCCATCACTCCCTTTTCTTTGTGGCTTTTGTGGCTTGTTGCTTTTCTGTGAGGCGGGAAGCAGGGTGAGATGTGGGGACTGTATTCTCAGCATCTGCTGTTCTAGCTCTGCCTGCTTCTGTTACCCAGACAAAAGCTAATTCTTGCACCCAGTGCTCACCTCCTTCCTTCAACATCCCCGTTATCCTGTGGCAATAGATTTTCTGCTTAATTATAAGTTAGATTTTTTTTTTTTTAAAAAAAAAAAAAAGCAGCTCTTTTCTTTCATCACTTCTGAATCTTCCACTTTGTGAAGTTAGGTGCCAGGGGAGGGGAAAAAAATCCTCCTAAACACTTTGCTCATTAGCCTGTAGGATAGATGTTCTGTCTCGTGTGGGAAACCATGGAGGTCCCATCCCAAGAGCCACTTCAAATCAGCAAGATAAGCCATGGGGGATGTGGAGATCCACATTGCCGGCTGTCATGAACCAGCTCTGATTTATACAGACTAGAAACCCAGGCTGAGTATTTGGGTATCGGTTCTCTGGGGTTCTTTTAATTGGTCCTTTCCACCTCTAATTGTTACTTCTTACTATGGCAGCTCCTGTATGAGCAAAATTAATTTGAGCTTTGCTTAAGGTTGAGATGGAGACTCGGAAGCCTTGCTGATGGATACCTAAGCCAACAGCTTTGACATGTCTGGCTTTAAATCCAGTTTCCTGGTGCTCCTGAAAACCTGAGCAGGCACAGACCTCCTGAATACTACAAATTCACCATCGTGAGCCAGTGTTCAACTGGGATGCATTGTTGGCTTGGAAGATTCCTGTCTCCCTTCCTGTTCTTTGCAATGGCATAGCATCCCTAGCTGAGTTATGTTTCCCATTAGCAGGGAGCTGCATGATGAGCCAGTTTGTTGTGTCCTTGCCAATACCCTCTTCTCTCCCCACCCTCCATCTTGTGTTTCAGGCAGAAATGCGCCTGCAGGACCAGCAGCTTGCAAGGCAGCTCATGCGCCTTCGCAGTGACATCAACAAGCTGAAGATCGAGCAGACCTGCCACCTGCACCAGCGCATGCTCAACGACGCCACGTACGAGCTGGAGGAGAGGGACGAGCTCTCTGACCTCTTCTGTGACTTCCCCCTCATGAGCTCCTTCAGCCTCTCCACACCGCTCAAGCTCATCGGGGTCACCAAGATGAACATCAACTCCCGGCGGTTCTCGTTGTGTTGAAGGGGGGAAGAAGAGGGAAGGATGGGGGAGAAAGAGAGAGAGGACTGGGCAGCGCCAGGGCTCTCTCCGCCTGATGGCTGGGTGAAAAAAGGCCAAAAAGGAGCAAAGAGAACAGGATCAAACAGGGAACCCACAGCTGGTCTTGGTGGCAGGGTAGAGCAGCAGAGCTGGGCACTGGGATGGCCCAGAGATGCTCGTCGAGAAGACAGGACCTGCACGGAGGAAGCGTGGAGAGCATCTGAACCCAACACGTTCATTTACCCGGCTCCTTTGCAAAGTCCCTTCTCCTTCTCTTCCCCCCACGGTAACTAGAGGACACAGCTCCATTTGTGGTTGGTTGTACTCAAAAATCAAAGGAGGGGGTCAAAGATCAGCCACAAAGCAAAGTAAAATGCCTTCTCCCTTCCCCTTTATCTCCTCCCAGGCTAGAGATGTCTCTTCAGAAAATAAGTCACTCTCTTCCACGGATGTCTCCTTGGGCATCAGTCCTTAGCCTCTGCTGGCCCAAGTACAGGCTCCATGGAGCTATTTCAGGTGGGAAGCTGATTTCCAGTGGAAAGGAGCCCTCCCATCAGGTGAGGAACCATGGGTTAAATGATATGCAGCCCCAAGATGTGGTGAGAAGATGTGTTTGTTGACTTGCTCCATTGAGTCCAGTGTACTCTAGCTTAATTTTGCCTGTGGTATAGATTATGGACAAATCATGGACATATTTATATAGAGACTCCAGCTGGCCAGAAGTCGCCTGTGTGCCTGGAAGTTCTACCCAGAGCAATATGTGTTTCTGATCTTCTTGTCACCAGTAGCCACAAGACCCTGTGGTTGACCCTGCAAGAAGTAGATCAAAGGAGGTAACTTACTCCCAAGACATCTCATATCAGAGAAATCACCCCAGGCTGACATTCACCCAACAGCAGCACCAGAAAATCCTGGGTCCTCTGTAGCAACACACATCCACCAGAGAAAGGAACTTCAAGAGGAGAAAATGGACCTCTGTGTAACGAACATAAAGTGTGACTATAAGATTAAAGGGAAGAATATTGCTGCAATGAGCTTTGGACCTGCAGCAAACACATGGGATTCCCTCTCTGCTTGGCAGTACGTAAGATGGATGTTATATTTTCTTGCCTTTCAGTGCATATAGCTGCACACCTGCCTGTACATGGCATGGAGGGCAGAGACACCCGTGGTGTAGCCCAACAGGGGCAGGGACTCAAGACGTCTAGCCATGGCAACCTAGGGACACCTGGCAGCCAAGGCAGTCTGTGTAGAGGGAGTGCTGGTCTCTCTAGGCTCTCCCTTCTGTGCCAACACCACTCCTGACCACGTCAGAGTGGTAAAATCTCTCAACCCATCGCCCCAGCCTATCTCTGCTCTCCTCCACGTGCCCAAGCAGAGAGCTCTGCAGCTGAGTGAATGTGACTGTGTCCACGCAGCACCAGCCCAAGCCCTGGGGACAAGCAGGAGATGCAAGCCAGCACTGAGCTGAAACCTGGGTGGCTGTGTTGACGTGCCTGTACCTGACTGTGTCTGTAAGGTCTGTGTGTGTACATAAATTGTTGTGTGTGTGCGTGGGTCGGAGAAATCCCAAGCACAAATCCAGGCTGGGTGAGGAGTGGATGGAGAGCAGCCCTGCGGAGAAGGACTTGGGGGTGTTGGTGGATGGAAAACTGACTGTGAGCCAGCAACGTGCGCTCACTGCCCAGAAAGCCAACAGTGCTCTGGGCTGAATCAAGAGAAGTCTGGGCATCAGGTCAAGGGAGGGGATTTTTCCCCTCTATTCTGTTCTCATGAGGCCCCCCCTGCGGTGCTGTGCCCAGCTTTGGGTCCAGAGGAGGCCACGGAGATGCTGGGGGGGCTGGAGCAGCTCCCCTGGGAGGCCGGGCTGAGAGAGTTGGGGGGGTTCAGCCTGGAGAAGAGAAGGCTCCGGGGAGCCCTTCGAGCGGCCTCCCAGGGCTTAAAGGGGGGACAGGGAAGGTGGGGAGGGACTCTGGATAAGGGGGTGTGGGGATAAGATGAGCGGTAATGGCTTAAACAGAAAGAGGGCAGATTTAGAGTAGATGTAAGGAAGAAATTCTTCCCTGTGTGGGGGACCAGGTGCTGGCCCAGGGTGCCCAGAGAAGCTGTGGCTGCCCCCTCCCTGGAAGGGTTCAAGGCCAGGTTGTACGGGGCTTTGAGCAACCTGCTCTAGTAGAATGTGTCCCTGCCCATGTCAGGGAGGTTGGAACTAGATGATATTTAACGTCCTTTCCAACCCTAACCATTCTATGTGAGCCCGCAGGATGCCTCTCTCAGGAGTTGGAGTGGTGGGCCCATGTCTTTCTTCCCAAACATGACATGAACCAGAATCTGATAAGACTCTGACATAGCTGGGAAGATGCAATGAGGCTTCAAGACTTGGGGTTTCCACATCAAGCTTAGGTCAATGCAGAGAAGACAAATAACTCATCTGCCTCCACAGGTCTCCATGGAAGGAACAAATTAACGTCATGAAGGGGTTCATAGCCACATGGAGCAGGGGACTCTGGAGCTGAGTTCAGCCCTCTATCTCCTGTAGTACATAACCCCTCGATGTTGCCTCCCCCTCCACCTCAAAGCTCACTGAGTATCATTTCTTTCTTCTAAGGAAGAAGGTATTTTGTGCACTGGAGCACTGTCTATACCAGTAAGATTATCAGTGCCATGTCTGGGTGCTGAATCTTGTGCTGCCCATGTAGTGAAGGTTTAATTGGGTTGTGGCCAGACTGTCAGTTGGCCTTTGGACAAGACATCCAGCCACGATGTCGTTTAGTTTACTAGTACAGAAATAGCCTTATTTCCCCATAGACATCTTGGAAAAAAAATCTCATTAAAATTCTTCTTTGTTTACTTTTTTAATTAAAAAAAAAAAAATCAATTAATCTCCCACATGTTGATTTTCAGAGGCATTTTTAATCAAAATATAACAATGACAAATTTTCAGTGAAAATGATGCCTTGAAAGAGGGAGACTGGCTCTCTCTAGGATCATCTAGAGTTGACTATAGGGTGGACCTGCCTTTGGGCTCTTGTCTGGTAGCCAAATGCGGGAGGTTAGTACATGCACAGTCTGAGAAGGCTGTTATATGTGGCATTAGAAATATCAGCACCAGTGGCTGCTGCTCCATGTATTTGAAGCAGGGATCTACTGGACATTGATTCAAGGGTTGTCCACAGTCACCCAGCAGTGAGATGTGTTCCTTGCTGAAATTAAAGAGTGTGTTTGAGACCGGTCCATGTGAATAATTAATTACATTTTTAATTTGGATGGCCAGACTGGAAGACCACAGATTTCTCCAGGCTAACTAGAAGGCCAAGTTTCAGATTATTTTTTCTTGCCCCAAAAAGCTCAATGCAAATTTTGGATGGGGGTAGTCAGTCTAGTATTTCAGTTGGTTACATTTTGCTTTTACTGAAACAGTACAAAAAACTTTAAATTAAAACTGAAACCATTAACACCTCATTTTCATTCAAACACTGATTTGTAATGGACAGTCATATTTTCCCTGAAATAGTCTTAATGAAACTTTTCCACTCTCTTTTTCAATAGGTATCAGCCATTCATCCAGCTAGACCCAATCCCTGAAGTTTTAGTCAACCCAAAGCTCTACATAATTTCCAGCATGAAGAAGTTGCTTAAAAATGAATTAGCCCAGCTTCATTTCTGACTTCTTTTGGGTCAATTAAGAGGAAGCACAAAGTAATTTTACACATTTTAACTTACGGTCAGCTGGCCACTCTCCCTGGCATGGTCTGCTATGACATACTACTAATGGACAAGATCTTGGTCATCTGTCACAGCCCCAGCACAGCAACGATGAAAAGGGTCATTGCTCTTAGTAGTGTTTCATTCCTCACCCTTTTGGCACAGGGAAGTACTATCACATAATCAGCGAGTGATTTGTATTTTGACATGTCCCACAATTGCCTGCATATAATCCTTAATGAAATTCAATGGAGATATCATCACAAAAATGCCCTGATAGGTCCCACTTACACCAGCAAAGTCAGGGAATGACATGTTTAAGGACATAAAGACTGAATTTTCATATTGCCTCTGCTACACAATATTTCAACTACCCCAGTCTAACCTCTTTTATATATATATATATGGGAAATAAAACCATCTGGAGTATTCCCAGCACCTTGTGGGTTTTTTTCACAGGCTGACGCTGTCTGCTAAGTGGGTTTTATTTTAGATCAAGGAAGACAGAACGGAAAGGGGGGGAGAGAAAAAAAAAAAAAAAAAAAAAAGGATTGCAAGGAGGAGGTGGCAGGCTACACACCAAAACCAGATTCAGTCTCGCTTGCCTCACTGCAATTTTTACAACCAAGTTCTGTGTCTGAGGAGGTATGCACAAGGGAGTGAGGCATCACAAAACCTCGGGGAGAAATCACCCCTCGGGCATTGCTTATAACCCCAGCTGGCATCCAGAGGAGCCACGCAGCATCCCAAAGGAGGAGCGGCACTGAAAGTCGTGCAAACCGCTCCTGAAATCCTCACTGGTCTCCATGCTACCTGGGAAATCTGGAAAGCTGAATAACAGCAGCATCTCCCTCCCCTTTCCGACCAGGGGACACCCCTGAGCCTCGAATGACCACGCTCACTCATGTGAAGCTGAGCCCCAAGTTGTAATGGTTGGATGTGGATTTTAAGGTAAGTAATGGTCAGATCTGGGGCAAACTCTTGATTTCAGGCTTTCATCTAATTGAATCACAGAATCATAGAGTGGTTTGGGTTGGAAGGGACTTTAAAGGTCACCTAGTCCCAACCCCCCTGCCCCGGGCAGGGCCCCCTTCCCCCAGCCCAGGGGGCTCCCAGCCCCGTCCAACCTGGCCTTGAACCCTTCCAGGGAGGGGGCAGCCACAGCTGCTCTGGGCACCCTGGGCCAGAGTCTCATCACCATCACAGGGAAGGATTTCTGCCTTAGATCTCACCTAAATCTGCCCTTTTTTGGTGCAAAACCGTCCCCTCTCATCCCATCCCCACACCCCCTGACCCAGAGTCCCCCCCCACCTTTCCTGTCCCCCCTTTAAGCCCTGGGAGGCCGCTCGAAGGGCTCCCCGGAGCCTTCTCTTCTCCAGGCTGAACCCCCCCAACTCTCTCAGCCCGGCCTCCCAGGGGAGCTGCTCCAGCCCTCTGATCATCTTTTAGGCCTCCTCTGGATTTACTCCAACAAGTCCATGACCTTCTTATATCTCTCATCATTTCAATTTATTTTATGAAGAAGGACCAAGAGAGCAGATCCATGCACCCATCATTCAGAGCAGCCGAGACCTGGACTTGCTCCATCCTTACAAAAGAGGCATGGTGCAGAGCCCCTGTGGTTGAATCCTTGGGGCAGCCAAACCATCCTGGTCACTGTTGCCTTCAGCATCTCGATGTGCTTTAAAAGAGCCTGGGTCAGACACTGCAAGAGTCCTGCAATACCCAAGCCCTGAGATGTTGGTGGAAGATGCCCAGTGCTTCACCACTGCCCCTTCTCCAACACCCCCCTCTCTCTGGTGTCTGTCTTGCCCCACGCCCCCCACCTGCCTCTCTTAGGGGGAGGAGGAGGACGAGGGTTATTACACAATGTTTTTGTTCCACTGACAATTTCCCTCTTCCAGTTGGAACAGGCTGCTCATAAATTGCAGACTTCTGGAGGGGTTTCAGGAACTTTGCATTCTTAGATCATTGTCTCTCCTCTCTGGAAACAATGGGTGTAGGAAGGAGCTGCTCCAAAAACGCCATGTGCTACAAGGGTATTTCTTGAGGATGGGGATTGCTCAGGGAGGCAGAGGAAGTTTCCCCCAACAGCTTTATCTTGCAGCCTGGGTAGCTAAGGAGTCAACTCAACAGGAAGCAGGAACGCTGCTAACAGTGCCCTGCAGAGATCTGCAAAGGTCAACTCCTGCCACCCTGGAAAGGTAGTTAGAACAATCATCCTCTGATTATAAGGAGGAAAATTGGATGTAGGATGCCCCAGGCTGAGGCTGCTTAGCCTGAGATACAGTCAAGGACCTTCTGGACTTTCAGATGTGACCACCTTGGCATGCTCAGCGTGTCCTTTGCCACCCTGGAAATTCCTGAGGCTGGGTTTTCAGATGAAAGCCTGTCCTGCAGGTGAATTAAAATTAGAAGCCTGTTGCACGGCTTCTAACCGAATCAGAGATCAAGTTCTTAATACTATTAAACTCATCCCGTGAAACCAGCAGCTTGTCAGACTGCCCTGTCCCGTCCCATGCTGTCAATTCCAGCCAAAGCTTCAGTGGCTTTAGCATGTGTCTTGCCAAGGGTTAGCTCTTCCAGCTCCATTGTGAACATGGTTCCTAGCATGGTGTTGGTCCAGTCCAGCTAGCACTGACTCAAACAACCAGCAGCTATGGCTCAGGAGTCAGTGTAAGCCAGGGACCATCCCAAATAGGCAATCTGACTGCAGCTACCTCTTTTGGGGTATGAGGGTTTAACTTGTCTGGGCCATGTCAGTTGGTTTCATGGACAGAAGAGAGACCCTTGTGCTGTTCCATTCACCAACAGAGTTACAGCAGTGCGTGAAGAAATGCAGTGCAATAAGCCTTTCTCATAAAACAGCAGTCACTAATGACTCATAAGTCTTGTGAAGGGACAGTACCCAAATACACTTTTAAACCAAGGCTGTAGAGACAAAGTCTTTTTGATTCCTGACATACAAAGCTCCCACCCAGAGGTAGGATCACTCATTCGGAGGGGAAGACCATGAGCTACATCTTCACCAGCCACCAGGACCCATTCTCTGACCTAAGGCCAAGTGACCAATCTGGCCAAGTCCATATTATTAACTACAAAATGGGGCAGCCACAGCCAAAATACATCTTCGGAACGGTCCCTGACCCATACAGGCTGCCAAACCTTGCCTGGGGATTGTTGTCCCATGCCTAAAGCATGCCAGGGACTGTGACGACCACTGAACAACTGAAATCCAGCTCCTGGAAATGCTCCTCAGCCATTTGGTTTGCTAGCACAAATACAGCTACAGCACAAAAGCAAAGTCCTGAAGAAGTTGCTCTTCCCTGCCTGGGTCTCTTCTAAGCCCACCCAGCACAGACAGAGGACTCCAATCCTCTCTGATCCGCATGGGGAGGGTTGTCCAGCTTATTAAGAAAAGTGACTGTAAAACCTTACTTATCTTTGTTAGCTGACAGTCTGCTCTAAACAGTGGTCCCAGGGATGCCAGGATACTCCCTGGACATCTTTGTAACAAGATGCAATGAACAACAACAACAACAAAAAAAATTATTTATCAGTTTCTTGTCATGTAGGAGGAAAGGATGGTGGAGGGAGGATGCTCCAGGGGCCCTATGGGGAGGAGTGGCAGCCTTCAGGACCTCTCTGAATGATGGTGCATTGTGGTGTTCCTGGAAATCCCTCCTTCAGGCAAAAGCCAATCACCAAAAGATCTCCCACTGCATATCCTGGGTGGGATAAGCCATGATGCCACACAACAGCCAAGCTGAGCCCCTGCCCTGGTCAAAGGGGAAAGCTTCAAGCAAGGGGATGATTATATACAGGCAGCCACACTGCCTGGGAAAAGTGCTTCTTTGGGTTCTTTACCATTTTCTTATCCATTTTTTTTTTTTTTTTTATTTTATTATCCAGAGGAAGGAAGGCTCCCCTAGGTTGAGCCTTGTTTGAGAGAAACCAGGCCAGAAGGGGCATGTGATGGTTCAGTGGTCAGAGCAGTCCCCAGGAGAGTGGAAACTGGATTTCTCTCTTTATTTCCGTGCCTTCACCTTTGATTGTTTAAAGAAAAATATACAGAAAGACTGGAAGCTGGGTTTGCTCAGCTTGAACCAGCCACAGCAAGACCAGGTTCCTGCAGGGTCTCTCAGTCTTTCTCATATTGTTTCGGGTATTGCTTTGGGATGAGCAAGGACAGGGACTGATCTCAGTGCATACAAGCCTCGAGATTTTTCATGTATCACAGTGCAAGCTGAAATTTGCCCTGTTGTTTGTGCATTCTTCCCTGTTTCAGGGTTCTGACAGAGAAGGCAAGGATTTAGTACCAGGACTTCAGTATTAAGGGGGTTTCTTCATACTCATGAAATATAAGCCTTCTTCCTGGCCACAATTCAAAATCCTTGCCACTGAAGAAGAAAATCAGATTCCTTTGTATGGTTTGTCTCACCCTGAAGTCGCACATCTGTTTTTGTGGAGCAGCTTGTACACCAGCCTCCATAGAACCATGCCCTGCAGCTTGGAGTGCCTGGGTTCCTGTCTTCTTGCTCTTCATATATCCAGAAATTCATTCCCAGATGACATGCCCCATTATCTTTCTATGGCCCAAGGTGAGACTGACCTCTGTAGCTTTCCACATCCTCCTTTTTCCCTTTCTTCAGGTGTGTATAATGCTTAGAGACACCTGATGGGTGGACAGAGGCCAGACACCAAGTTTCTTTTGTAGATGACTTAACCACATCAGAGAACTCTATCAGAGCACTAGGCTGAATCTCACCCAGTCTCATGGATGTAAATACATTTAATTTCACTAAATAGTCCCTAACATTTTTTCTTCCCCCACTGCTAGCTGTTCTCCTTCCCAAATGCTGTTATGCGCAGAAGCTTGGATCAAGTCTGACCTATATAAACTGAGGCAAAAAAGGTATTCAACCTTTTCTATAATCATCCATTGTTAGGTTGTCCTTCCATCCAACAATCAACCCACATTTTCCCTGAAGTATAGTATTAAAATACTTGCAAACCCCTTTTTTGTTACTCTTAGCATCCCTGGCCAGTCTTTCCTCCAGCTGGTCTTTAGCCCTTCTGCTTTTATCCCAAAGTAGCCCAGCAATGCATTTGCACTCTTCTTTCATTTTCTCTCCTTATTTCCATTTCTTGTATGCTCCCTTTTAGCAGCTTAGTTCACTAAGAAGTGTCTTAATTAGCCAAGCAGGCTTTGTGCTGAAATTCCTAATTTTCATGTGCAAAGGCAGGGTTTGTTCCCAAGCTCTGAATAAGTTTTCTTTTAAAAAATCAGCCAGCTGTCTTGGACACCTTCTCCCCTCACAGCAACCTCCCAGTTCCCCAAATAAGCTGAAGTCAACTCTCCTGAGGTCCAGAGTCCTCAGCCTACAACTTGCCTTCTCAAGCCTCTCTCCAGTTGCAAGCCCAGTCACCTCACAGTC